CCATTTTTTAATAATAATAATAATTATTGTTATTATTCCTAATCCGCGGTTGTAATCCTTAGTACGTAACCGTTAATCCAATCGTTCACGTATTATGGTCGAACCTGAACCCAAAGGTCGGGGTGTAACATTTTCTCCACCCTTACAAAAATTTCGTCCCCGAAATTTGCTTGAATCTCATTGCTCATTCTACACCATCTTTGTAATTCCTTGCCTCAAGAATTTACTCTCGCTATATGAACCTTGATGATGTCTGTTGCTTGTCCCATATAGTTTACCTCACCACAAGTTATTTCCTCTTGACCATAAAAGGTATTCTCAACAAGCTCATTAGCATCGAGTAGCTTTGAGTGGCTACTTGCCCTTTTCAAAATTTTCCAACTTGGATCCAGTACTTGATGTTGAACCTATCGAAGTCGAGGTATCACATTTCCTCCCCACTTATATAGAAATTTCGCCCTCAAAATTTTCCCACTGTGATTACCCTAGCATCGCTTGTGGTAATCCTTTTCACTTCGCGGATTTTTATTTCCCTTAACTTATACGACATGACCTACAATCCTTCTCTCCATTCCCTGCAACTTCAATGTTGTTGTGGCTTCTTAACCCCTCACATTATCTCGGTTGCACCTTGTACGTATATAGGGACGATAACTATCCATTGTTTGGTATACGAGACGTTAATGCTCCTCTTGAACCCCAGGGTTACATATGACGGCTTATCCTCTATCCCATCAGATGGTAAAATTCCTTTAACGTAACTCTCGTCCGGAGTTGACCTCATCGGTCACCTAGGTCCTTGTATCTCCTAACTCTGCATCTCTTACTTTCTTCTTCAATTTCTCGTCTTATCCCTTAACCATAAACTGAATGGTCATCTCCTCGTTACTTGTTGCTTAGCGCCAAAGTCTCATACTACTGCTTTTACCTTCTGTAGGCATTAGAGACATCCTTTGCATTTCTCTCTAGCTTGCGATCAACCTTATGAATCATTTCAAGAATCATGATATTCCCAATGGCTCACTTGCTCACTCCTAGCGCCTAACTTAGCACTTCCTTATAGTTGCTTGAATTTGATGTTCTCGTAATATCCATTCTGCCACTCTTAGACCCTAGCTGAAACTCCTCGTACGGTTTCCCCGTCCAATAAGGTTTTACCCGAGAGATTGACACCTTTTACCAACATAGGCGATCTTGGCTTCACTCTGGGGTACCTTATCAGATTCCCTAAGCTCATATCCATATTACTTCTTTACTCGTGACTCTTCTTCTTGATGTTCCTTGCTAGTTCTAGATGTCCCTCGTCCTTGATGTAGTCATCTTGGTGCCCATATTCTCTTCTCACTTATGTACCTTGACCGATAAGGTTTTCCCTTCGACCGTTCTGGACAACCACACTTCTACTTTAAAGTTGACCAATGAGCTTCTCCGTTCTTGATGGGCTTCCTATAGTCCAACTTATTCTCAACTGGCAATCACCTTAACGCCACCTTGTTGACCTTCGTATTCTTTCGCCGGCTCTTCCTAACTATCTTTCTCCCTGAATTTGTCGTTTTATCAACTACCACCCTTTTCACCATAGCTTTCATTATAGCCTTGTGGTTTCCTCCTACTTCCACAACTCCTTCATCGATGCTTGGTACTAGCTTTGATCTACTCAGTTTAGTAGCTCCTCGCCATACCTCCGAGCCAACATTCCCACTAGAAACTTTCTCTAGGTATACTTGCCAGATGACACCCACGACTTCTACTCATGATGGTGCTTGACCACGTCCCAACTATCTTCCTTCACGCATTCATTGTCCAGTCGACAACCACTTTTTTTTCTATAACTTCCCATGGTGTTCTTCTTGCTTCTTTACTTTTACTACCACCGAAATACAACTCTTCTGTTGTTGCTTGTACTATATTTGGTCACCACCCTCTATTGAGTATTTTCTCGTTGTTGTTTTAGTTCACAACTTCCAATGGTGGCTTGCCCTTGGTAACCTTTAACATAACTCATTCCATGTCTCTTTTGTTGACCGATCTTGTACATAAACTTAGTCTCTTAGTCAGGATTCTTAGTGGCTTAACTAAGCGTGCATGTTTCTTCCTTAACTAGTTGTCTCCTCTGGAGCCCTCCTACTATGTCGCGCCCACTCAGAGTGGGGCACCTTGGATAAGGTAACTTCTCTTTTCCTCCTTCTCGGTAATGCTTTCCCTCATCGTACCTCTTTGTGCAGCTTCTTGACCTCGAGTCACCTGAGACTTGACCCATTGACTTCTTAAAATCTCGTCAAACTCCCTCTGGCCTTTTCGCTCTTCCTTGGTATTGCTCGCAAACTCTCCTCATTACGACTGCTTAGACTCTTCCTCGAATTCTCCAACTTTCATTAGAACTTCTAAGGAACGTTGTACTTGCTTGTCTATACCCGGTTGATTGAATGATTTACTCCCACGGCTGGTTCCAAGACTCCCGCTCTTGGCCCTCTAGTTCTCACTTTAGACTTTCCCCATGGATTCCTTGAAATTCCATGATTTTCTGATTCCCCTTGATCAGTGTAATTTTCAGGGTCTCTCAACCCCTTCTCATACCTTGTCCTCTAGTTTGCGCTTGACAGGTGTATAGCATGCCTGATCTAACCTCAACCTCTACACCATTTATCTCTTTGCTTGTCTTGTTCCTTTTTAAAGGCTTGCTATCAGCCAAACACCCCATGGTCATGTACCCTCTTCTCTAATGAGGTAGTTTGTCTATAAGGGTTCCTTAATCGGTATTTGTAAACGACCATACCTCCTCTCCGCCTTGACCTTTTGACTTCTTGACTTCCTTTCACACTCCCTGTAACCTACTTATTTCCTCCTTTAGTTCATTTATACTACTCTAGCTTTTCTTGAAGTCTAAGATTCCCGCTGCTCCTTGTCACTGTGTTGTAATAGCGTTGACCACTAAAACTAGTTGAGGGACTTCTCGTGGTACCTCTTCGTTTCTTGAATCGCTACTGCTTAGGGTCAAGGACCCTGAAATTCTCTCATCATTATAGCTACTAACATCTAGTGATTGTAGCTCTTTCTTCGTAGATTCATAGTTATCCTAATTGTTTGTCTTAGCTTAATAGATCATCCACTTGTTTCCTGGTAGTAAAATCCTCGTACTACTCTCCCAACTCCTTCAACATCCTAGAGGTATTCCCTTTCAATTGGAACCTCTTCTATTAGAACTTTAGTTATTTACCTTAATACGATTAGAGTAGACTGGAGATTCTATAAACTCTTAAAAGGAGACCCATGACTCATTTTCCTTTACTTTAAAACAAAACCTTTAAAAACTGAGACCGACATTCCAGTATTCCTTGGAGACCAAGGAAAAGAGGACGACCGGCTCTGATACCAAAATGTAACACCCTAACCCGGCCGGGTACTACTTTTACTAAAATGCCTTTGATAAATAAAGTACTCAAATCTCAAATTTCAACTGGGGAAAAATTTTAATAAATAAAATACTGAAAACACATACTTGTAGTTCAAAACAAAGCCCTAAGATGTGGGAAAATTAAACTCAAACTTTAAAAACTCAACTTGATCTCCAGTCTATACTCATAATCATAAAACATGATAACTAACTAATCTCTAGTGTTGCTGCTTGTGTGAAAAACTCTGACTAGACATCCTCTGTGACGCTCGTACCGTCCTCCTCTAGCTAGCTTCACTCGAACTGTTTCTCTCGATCTCGATGCTCTCTAACTGCTCCTCTAGCTTCTTCCTCTTCAAACTGGTGAGTGAGTTGGGGTCAGTCTACGCCCTTACGTTCAAAAATTCTTACTGCTTAGTACTTTACCTAAAACACTTACTTAAATTTGTGGAAGTTGTTTGTACTTCCACTCTTAAAATCCCTAACTCTTAAATTGTATGGGAGTTACTGATACTCTCCACTCTTAAAGCTCAAATCTCGACTTAAATACTTGACTGACACTGGGATCCCTCACTAGATAGTCCGGTTGCCAACTCATACGTATGAGAAGCCATCGAGGCTTTCCTTAAACTTAAACTTAGTTAGGGAAGTCGTAACGATTCATCCCCCTAACATCTTAAACTTATCGTGGTGGCTCTTCGCCACGATTCTCAAGAGCATAACTGCTGCTCATCTTAAAAGTCTCAAGAGCATAACTGCTGCTCTATCTCAAAATGTCTCAAAAGGCAACGGACTGGCGCTAGTGACTAAAAACACTTAAAACGACTTCACCTTCTTGAAGGTGAGTTACTTCTTAAAAAGAACTAGTTTCTTAACTTTACCAATCACTTATAATTAAAGTAAAGCCTTAAGGTAAATAACACACATTCACTTCAAATAATAGCTCAAACAAAGCACATATCATCAATCATGGGCATAAACAACCATAGCAACACTTTACAAAAATACTGAAAACTCAAATACTTGAAAGAATACGTAAGGCGTAGAATTTACCCCCTTTACACTCACCTTATTAATCCAGTCGGAAAACTCAAATTGACCTCCATGTTCAATTGGTATTTCTCCGATGAACGAGTGGTCTCTATGAACCCCGCATGTGTGCCTCAATCTTGATGTAACGCTGTCGAACTCTGACTTCTTCTTGCTTTTCTATCCAGCTTGAATTTTACATAATAGCAACCACCAAAAGTTACTTTTAGATTCCTAATTGTGTAATTCAATTAGATTTTACTAAAGCTTCTTATTCCCCCACTTTAGAACCTCCTCCCCCCCTTGCCAACATAAAGCCCTCTTCAATTTTGAAGCTGACCACGTAAATAAATCCATTCACCCATTATAATGGGACGTTCATCATGCAACCCCACCGCCCAGCAATGTTCCACGAGAATGACATTCGTATCCCACTATTTAAGCTTGACAAAGGACGAAATTTCTTACCCCAAGTGCAAGCATCGGTGCTGGCTTATGGTGAGCGATCTTCGTGGCGTGATTGGCACAGCAAAATCCCTTGAGCAGATCTCATCGCCTGGTCTACTCTCTCCCTCTCTTATTTGGCTATCGCCGCCGCTTTAAGATCATTATGTTTACGGCAACTTTCAAGGGCAAACGAAAGGAATTTGTGACCTGGATGGCATCCCTTATCCTTCATTACGTCCAAAAATTTCAAAACCTCCATCATTCCTACAGCACCCATAAGCAAAGTGCAGCGAAAAGTATCATAAGCAGGCACGTTTTCAGGATCCCAGCCAATTCGATTGATCCAAGCCAAGGCGAGCCACAAAAAGTGATCTTCCAATGTCGATGCTGCCTCCCAAGACCAGGCGATTCGCGATGAAGCTTTGGTGGTCGTGGAAGTGGCGCCAGTTGAGCCCATCGTCTTCCAGCCTGCGACACCGCCGCCTTCCTTCGCTGCCCTCTACGATCGTCTCACGTCGGGAGTAAGAAGTAGCTTCCGCCGCCGCCGCTGGTGGGGAATAGAAATTGATCGTGGGACTGTGGGAGGGTTTAATTGTGGAGGCTGAGTGGGGAATGGGATTAGTCGAGCTAGGGAAAGGAGTTTGAGCGGCAGGGTTCCTTAATTAGTGAATGGGGACGATTTCTTGGCGTAGGGGGGAAGGTGATGGGAAAACAATGAGGGTCCTCTTAGCCATTTTTTAATAATAATAATTATTATTATTATTATTCCTAATCCGCGGTTGTAATCCTTAGTACGTAACCGTTAATCCAATCGTTCACGTATTATGGTCAAACCTGAACCCAAAGGTCGGGGTGTAACATTCACCAAGGGTCTTGGAGCTGACCGTTTCCATTTCTTACTGTCTAAGCTCCACGTTCGTAACCTTCACGCTCCAGCTTGCGGGGGAGTAATGGGTTTGGCCCAGCATCAGCCCGGTCCAGTCACGTCCAAGACTACAGCGCACCATGCGAGCCTAGGCCTAGATCCTTCTCATGCATGTACATTGTTTACGTGTCCAAACACTAAAATGCTAGATGAGTTGAACTTAACCTAATACAATATCAACTAGAGAGTTCATCTCTCCCGTGGATTAGTCCCGACATTCGGGGAAACCACGTAAATCTCGTTGTCGTGTGTACTTGCTCATCACTATAGTCGTTATTTTACACAAAGAGAGGTAGAAGAAGCATTAATCGATATAGCTTATATCGTGCACTATATCGTGCATTGGGAAAATGTAGCATATCACATACCCTTAGTATGAAAATACTATGCAAATGTTGAATTAGTCAGATTTTGGGACACGCTAATATGCCCTAACGCTTAAATGAGTGAACTTTAGGTTCTAATTATCTAAATAATAAATCCTAAACCCTAAAATGATGCACGTCGTTAGTGGCATATATTTCAATGAATCTGTTGTTTATTGTTTCTAACTAAATTTATCTTAGTGTGTAACATTTAGAGAATTAACACATAGATTTTAAATTTTTAAGTGTTAGGGTAGAGTAACATGTCCCAAATTCATGTCAATTCATGGTCTAAATAGCGTTACTTTACTCAAGGTATGTGGTACTCCTCATATTTATCCTTGGTACAAACTAGTGTACTCCAGGTGATATGGTCATTGGATTACTTTAATGATCCACTGTTTTCAATTCAATTGAGATTCGACTTTTGGTTTAGGAAAAGGAGGCATGTGATTTATCTATTATAGGTTATGTTAAAGCATCATACCCCAAAATCGATTTAATTCATGCTCTAGATAGAGATATCTCACTAAGATGAGCATCTAGAGTATCGTATACTTCATAAGTATAACAGTCTGACCCATATATATGTATATATATGGAAACAATTGGTGTCCTCCTAGAGTATAACATACTCCAAGTGATTTAACTGTTGAATGTACTTTGGTAAATAAAATCAGTCATTATTATTATGTTATTAACTTGATTTTAGAGTTTGGATTTTGATTCGGGCCTAATTACACACATTTTATACCCGTTTCCATTGGGCGTTTGTAGCATTTGAACTCCTTAAATGGTGCTTTTATGCTAGGTTTTGTGCATTTTAGTGTGTTTCAGAATCCAACAGGGAGAAATCGGTAGTTACTGGTGCAAGGCGAGTTCACGGTCAACAAGAACGTGAACATTTAGTGCAAACCGTGAATTCATGCGAGTGAAGCAGTGCATTTTGGCACAACGCTCTGTGTTCACGGACGCGTTGAATAGTTCACGACCGTGAACTGAGCCCGATCCTGGTATAAAATGTGAGCTAAAAGGAAGAGAGAGGGGAGAGCCCAAGAGGGAGAAAGTGTCTTATTCTTCAGATTTTAGAGAAAGAGAGAGAAAGGACGAACCAAGGAAAAAGAAAGGCTAGGGTTACTCTTGTAGCATATAATGCATCCCTTGGTTTGGCAATTGAGAGTGTGGTCCTCGACCATAGTTGCACCTCCAAGCGGTTCATGATTTCCTTGCCTATAACGTCCCATTCGAGTCCACTTGCCATGTTAGTAGTTACGAGGAAGCGACACCTGACTCACTCCTACTGTCACTCTAGAAATTGGCCAAGTGTAACCACTTCCTAAAGCGTAGTATAGCGGGTTTGGGTTTTAATGTCAACCCGGGTCCTAGATTTGATGACTACTCAGTGAATTCTTGTTATCTAGCAATGAAACTTTAGTGCAGGTCTAAACTAACAAACAAACAAAGAAAGTAAACAGTTGTTTTCAGGATAAGAGAGGTCACCCGGATATGGTTCCCCCTAGACTGCAGTTAAGCCGGATTGCAATTACCAAGTTCAGTTTCTATGATAGTTATACTGCGGAAGGTTCTTAAGCAGTCTGAAGTCTCGACTAAAGGTCTCCAGACCCTCTCAATCTGAGTCTCTAGCGGGCGACTAACCTCCACCGGAGTAAATAGATTGAGGCCCTAACGAACAAAACCTCCACTACCGAAGTGAATTCGGTACAGAATAGTGAGTTGGCTCCTCGACTAAAGTCACCAACTCCCTACCTTCAATCAAGGATGCTCTATCAACCTAGGCAGATATTCTCATTTTAGGTTAAAGCAGAAACAACAGGAGTTTGATCAGGATTCATGCCATTCAATCATTCAAACCTCAATTGAATATAATCAGATCATAGAATCAGTACTTGGGTTCATACAATCAAACCTAACATACAAATCTAGGGTTTCCCATACCCAGATGAATGGGAGAACTACTCCATGGAGAAAGAAGCAAAAGCAGAATCAGATGCGGAAATCATACTGTGAAGGATGGATTTCTGCTCCTGGACGTTGATCGGCACTTCTCTAAGCTCAAGCCAAGCTCCAATGGTGATGAAAATCAAGCTAGGGCACTTGGGAACTCTTGTTCGTCGCTTTCTCTCTCTAGGAATCGCTCTGTCTCTCTAAAACTCGAATCCCCCTTCTGTTTTGGCTGAAATCTGCCTAAAAGGGCATCACTGGGCAAAACACGGTCGAGGGCACGGCCGTGTTCTACTCCAGCCCGCCCGTGCCCTTGTACACGACCAGCCTTTTGGGGAAAACACGGGCGTGCTTTTGGTGGACACGGTCGTGTTCTGTCTCAGTCCTGCCCGTGTTTTGAGCTAGTGTTTGCCAAACTCAGATCAAGTCTCGGCAGTAAAAGCACGGTCTAGGAACACGACTGTGTTCTGATTTAGGCGTGCCCGTGTTTTGGCTCCAGCTCGACCGAATGACTTCCGAATGCCCCGAAACTCGTGCTTAGCCTTTCCTTTGACGCCTGGGACCTAAAATATGATAAAGTAGCACAACCCGGCGTAAAATAGGCAAAAAATACACGATTATGCCCCTCAAACGGATAAGAACTAGGGGTGCAAATACGTGCAATTACATCGTTATCAAATTCCCCCACACTTATTCAAAACAATCACTTCATGAACAAAGCTCAAGATATCAGAATTAAGACCGAGCAATCTAGGTCCTCACCGGGATAAAGAGTATAGAGAATATGAGAAAATGAATCGCTCACTCTCGACCAGTGGGGTCAGGACAATTTGATGCGAAAAATGCGCATGCTTAATCTCTCAATCCCTAAATTCTCTTCACCATGAATGCAGCCTCTAAGTGATAGAGTTCACATATGGGGTGTCACCACTAACTAATCCGGAGGTCTTAGACACAGGTTCAGATGACTGGCTAGGGTCTCGGACAGGGGGAAAAGGCCTTTTCGGTGGTGAAAGTATTCATACAGCACAAGGTTCCACATATACAAACCCAACAAACTTGCAGTCAATCAAACCAATAACTTTCTTTCTGCTATTCTGCATTACTCAAATTCTTCAGAGCACAAGAGCGAAGGAGGCCACATAAATGCTAGTATTTCTAAGCCAGACTGCTAAGAAACACTACTAAATGGGCATTATTCAGAATTTTGGTGGTGGCTCTCTTTTGCTTTCATTTTTTTTCTTTGTTTTTATTTCATTATTTTTTCATTTATTAAGAGAACCACCACCTCTGCACATTTTCAAACACCTGCCCAACTTTTAAGCACTACCTCCAATCCTCACATTACGTTTAGCAGAAACAGCTAGAAAACATGTAAAAATCACTCTGTGGAACCTTCTAAAAGATGCAAAAGGGTGACTTTTCATTGAAGACCGAAGGAAAGGAAAACACACGGCTCAAAGGGCTGACTAAGGGGTATGACACACCAGGACAGTCAATTTGGTCGTGGGCTAATCCTATGCCTCCATCTTAGCTAATGACAACGTGAATGCTGCACATCATGGAAGAGGAAACTATCGCACAAGAAAGAAACGAGTAGGCTCAAGTCTCACATGGCTACCTATATGCTCTATCTCTCGTTCTGATTCCCTGAACTAGATGCATAAATGACTGTCAAAAGCAAGTGATCAAACCAAGTCACATTTGGTAAGAAAACAGTTGAAAAACTGAACCCCTACACAATTCTACTGCTCATCTCAGTCATCATAATAAGCTATCTTAGTCACACTCAAGTTGTCATGCATCAAGTCAAAAGCCATTCAATTCACTAATCACATCCACAGTGCCAATACGATCAAACATCAGGCAAACGGCAGTGCTTGGAGCCCTCAAATCTCGAGATTTGGACAGTGGACTAGGCTCCAAGCACACATATATACGTTCCAATTCATACAAAGAACCCCCCCCCCCCCCCCCACACTTAAATGCGACAATGTCCTCAATGGAGCAGAGGGAAGGGGAACGATGTTACCGTGAAAGGAGAATAGGAACGGGGACGGGAAGGCAGACCAGTCCAGAGAAGGAGGCACAGAGCTAGAGACAACAAAAGACACACATTGGGTGAAAGAACCGGAGGTCCAGGTCTACAATCCAAGATAAAAAGAAACAAAACAAAACGAAACAACAAAACATGGAGTCTCAGTC